GGAATGCCCCTTTGGCCGGCGGGCTCCGCGACCGGGCGCGAAGGCGTCCGCTCGCCCGGCGCCCCCGGCCGGCGGAGGTGGCGGCGCGACTGGGCCTGGACGAGGGGGCCGATCGCCGGGCGGAGTTCCCCCCCCCCCCCCCGGTAGACCAGGGGTTCCGGATGTGGGGGCGGTGCTGGCGTGGTGTCGGGGGAAATTTGGGGATTATTACTCTGTATATTTTGCACATATGTAAACCACACAGGGGGGGGGGGCGGGGTGTGGAGAGGAGAGGGGGACACGACGCGGCCAGCGTTCTGCCCCCTGTTGGTGCCAGTGCCGTCTCCCCCCCCCCTCCCCCCCCGTCCTTCGCCTGGCGGGTGCCGGGCTCCCGGGCCCCGAGCCCGCCGGAGGGGGAGCGGGGGAGGGGGTGCGCATTTCTCCCACCCCGGCCGGCGTTCATGGCGGCTGGCAGATTGCCGCAGGTCATTCCTGACTCCGGCGCCCGAGGCTGTTCCCTTTCGGGGGTCGCCCGGGCGCGGCGCGGGGCGCGGCGGCATTGTGCGCATGCCTGTGGACGGGGGCGCGCCCCGTCCGCGCCGCAGGGCTCGCGCGCAGTCGACAGCACACCGCGGCATGGCCGGCCAGCCGGCAAGTGTCAGCCGGCTCGGGGTGGGCGGGCGAGGGCGGGCGAGGGCGGGCGAGGGCGGGCGGGGGGCGCCTTCCTCGTTCGTGGAACACCGCCCCCCCCCTCCCCCTCGCCCGGGGGCAGCGCAACGCCGGCCGCCCCCATCGTGGGGGGCGTCGTAAATGGCGAGGACATTTTGCCCGGCGCTCGGTCGAGGGAGGGGGGCGCGGCCGGAGCCGCGGAGGCCCAGGTACAAGCATGCGCCCTCTCCCACACGCCCCCGCTTCCTGGCTGCGCGGGCGGTCTTTTGCCAGTGAGGGGGCCCCGGGGCCAGGTGCCCAATCGTCCATGCAACCGCGGCCATGGGCCTCCGGGCCGCCCCTCTCCCCGGTGCTGGTTCCTCGCCCGGCGCGGGAGGCGTCTCCCCCCCCCCCCCCCAGGGCTCGCGCCCCGCGGCCAGCACGTTCGGCCCATTCCTATTACTCATTCCCGCGCGCCGGTGCCGTGCTGCGGAGACTTCGGGGCGCAGGAGGAGGCCCGGCGGGGGCCGAGGGGGGAATGAAGGCCCCCCCTGCCTCGCTCTTTTTTTCTTTCTCCCCGCGCGCCGGAGGCGCACCCCTCCGGGCGCCGGGGGGGGGGGGGGGGGGGGGGGGGGGCGCCGCCCAGAAAGGGGCAGAGTGGGCAGGGGGGACACGGAGGGCGGAGACGACGGCCGGGCCGGCGAGCGTGTGTGCGCGGGGGAAAGAGCTCTCCCCTGGGGCTCGGCATCCATCGTCTCCCGCTCGCGCCGGGGGCTGCCCCCAGAGCAAGCCCGGGGGTGGTGGTGGTGGTGGTGGTGGTGGTGGTGGTGGTGGTGGTGGTGGTGGTGGTGGTGGAAGACACACAGACTGAAGTCACGCCTGCTGCCAGGCGCCCCCCCTGCCCTACCGGGGGGTGCCCACCATACTCTCGCCCATCCCCGTTTCTCAACACGTACCTTTTGCGCCCTTCCCCCTTCCTCCCCCCGCCTCCCTCCTTCCTCCCCCCTCCTCCCTCCTCCCTCCTCTAACACGCGCCCCTCTCTGATCGCACCGGGTCGCCACCGCCGTCGTTTGTGCGCACGCGCACCTCCCCTTCGCGCGCCATAGCCGGGGCAGAGTTTTCTCGTTTTCGGACCTCTTGCATTCTCTCTTCCGCACTTCCCCCCCTTTCGTGCTTTCTCTCTCTATCTCTCTCCCCCTCTCTTGCTCTTTCGCGCACCCCCGGCCGCGCCTGCTCCCCCTCCCTCGAGCTGCCGGGCCAACCGGCGCGACCCCCACCCCCCCCTCTCCCACCTCCCCCCCACCGCACCCGGAGATCATGGCCACGCTCCAGCTCCCCGGCACGAGCCGGCGCTTCGCCGGCCAGAACAAGGTCCACCGCCAGTGGAGTGAGGGCGTCCAGCGGGTGACCTTCACCCGCTGGGTGAACTTCCGCATTTCCGCGGCGCCGGCCGCCACCGCGCCGGCCGCCGACGGGGCGGATGACGATGTCTCCCCCGAGCTGGCCCCCTTTGATGACATTGTCGTCGCGCTGCAGGTCCGCCTCCCCCCCCCCTTTTATCACCAGGGCCAGAGGGCATGGGCGGGCCGGGGTTCACTTCGCTGCCATCGCCGACCGCCAGCCATCCGAGGCATGGTCGGGCCTGTGCTCTAACTCTCTATGTCAC